AGAATCAGTCTTGACCCCAGACACACAGTGCTTTCTCTCCCTATGAGGAAGTTTTACCCGTAGTGACAGCTCCTTTCTTTGCTTGTCTTCTACTGCATCCACAGTTTGCCATTGTCCACACCAAAAGGAAGGCAAACTTCAAGCCTTCTCCTTCCCCTCCCATATCTTCCCTTATCTGACAGAGGTGTCTCCGTTAAGAAAAATCCCTCAACATCTTTGCATCTCTGGTGTTTTTTTTATATCAAGTCTGGTTCTGGCTGCTTCTAGGATCATTAGGACTCACAACTATAAAAACATCCTAATGATAAACAGGGTCAGCTCACCAAGAAATTTCCAGGTGAGAAGTAGTTATAAAAATGGCACATAGAATATATTCTTCAAAAAGGACCTTGTCACAAAAAGGAAAGGCTTCAGATTAAAGGAGACTAAAGGCACATGATAACTAAATGCAGTATATGAATCTAGACTGAATCTTGTAATAGAGGAGTTTCTTGGCAAACAAAACCCCAAAGGACATCCTATATAATAAAGAGGTAATATGCAAATTGATAATCACTGCATCACACAATAAGGCCATCCCCATGTGGACACAAGATGGCTACCACAAGATGGACAGCAGGGACCTGAGGCTATGCCCTCCCCCATCCCATGGGGCTTTGCAGGGGACCTTAGGCCATGCCCCCCACCTGGCAGGGCTATACAGGGACCTCAGGCTTTACAGGACCTGCCCTGGTGTCAGGCTGGAGGACCTCAGGTCACACCTCTTGCCTTGGCACCAGGGCCCCCACCCAGAGGGGCTTGACAGGGCACCTCAGGTCACACTCCCCACCTGGCAGGGCTTGACAGGGGACCTCAAGGTGTACTTCCCATCCTGGTGCTGGGCTAGGGGACCTTAGGCTGCTCCCCCGATCCCAGCTCCAGGCCGAGGGACCTCAGGCCATGCGCCCCACCAAGTGGGGTTTGACAGGGTTCTTCAGGCCATACCCCCTGCTCCAGCACTGGACCAGGGGACCTGAGGCTTTGCCCCTCTGCCTGGCTGGGCTTGACAGGAGTCCTCAGGCTGTGCCCCCCACCCAGCAGGGCTTGACAGGGGATCTCAGACCTTGTTCCCCACCTGGTGGGGCTTGATGGGGGACTTCAATCCACACCCCCCATCTTGGCACTGGGCCAGGGGACCTGAGGCTACGCCCTCTGCCCAGCAGGGCTTGACAAGGGTGGGACTGGCCAGGTCTGGATATAGCCCAACTGAGGGGAGGTGGGGGGGAGAAGAAAGGAAGTGGCCAGGTCTGGGTCTCATGCAATTTTGAGGTGCACATGGGTGGGTGGGGACTTGACTCTGAGTCCCGTGGTGAGCCCCAAACCCTGACAGGAGGAAGGTTTTCATATATATATTTTACTAATTTTCTTTAATCTCTGACATTTCTATTACAGAGAAAGGGCAAATAACAATATTAAATTATTTCCTCTAACTAATCCCCTTTTAATGTGTACAAATTTCATGTACCGGGTCACTAGTTATGAATAACACTGCTATGAACATTCCTTTATAAGTTCTTGTGTGGACATATGTTTACAGTTCTCTTGAGTATATGTTTAGAAGTGGAATTGCTGGGTCATATGTAAACTCTATATTTAACATTTTGAAAAAGTACCAGAATGTTTTCCAAAATGGCTACACCATTTTTATTCTCAACAATGTATGAGGGTTCTACTTTCTACACATGCTCACCAACACTTAACGTTTGACTTTTTGATATTAGCCATCTTTTTGTGTGTGAAGTGCTATGTTATAGTGCTTTTGATTTGCATTCCCTGATGGCTAATGATATTGAACATCTAATCTTTTACTTTTAATGGAATGTAGAAGTGAGAATAGATAAACACATATGTTTGATCGACTGTTTAACTCAAAACACAGTATCTTATTTTAAATGTGACAGGAAAATATTTCTTCTAAATATTTGAAAACACATATAGTGATGCCAACTCAACATTTAGTTTCCTACTTCTGTACTTTTAGCATGTCAGTGTAGTCACTGTGTGGTGAGGGAACAGCAATATTGTGCATAGGATTGCTCTGTAAGATGACGTCTTGAATGGGGTTGAGAGAACTCAAATGACTCTTTAGGGTTGATTTAAAGGCAGAACAGAACTGATTACTAAAACCTTTACAACTCAATGCTTTTCCCTCACCAATGCTATTTACATCTGTGGTGCATACATGTGTTCCACACATGATAAATATCAAAGAAATGTGAGAGCTTTGACATGGGCACATGGAATATGTCTGAGAGGCAGATGGCAGGATGTTTCAATGGGCTTTTCATTTTTATTGTAAAAGTGGGATTTATTTATTATACATGCCAGTTCATAATTGTGAAAGTTGGGTTGTGTGTACATGGGAAGATACATTGTTATATCTGCTCTGATACATGTTTATGTATTTCTGTAACAAGCTTTTTAAAAATAAGAGATGTTAAATGCCTCATAAGGAGAGGGAGGGGCAAAAGGGTACTTGGCAAGGATGCATCCGTCTATTAAGACAGGAATTTAGCTCTCTCTCTCAAAAAGGTAATTTCAGGAATTACGTTCCTTTGAGGTTAGGAGTAAACTTCTTTTCATGCAACAGGAAGGAAAAAGGAAGAATGTGAAGGTGCTTTTTGAAGTGTTTGGTTGAAAAGTTCCCGTTTCATGTCTTCTAGCTCATCTGTTGAGCCAGTGGAGATGGACTCAGCTTGAGGAAAGTAAAAGAGATTTGAAATAGACTTTAGTAGCTTTGGAGAGAGAACAGATTAAGGAAACAGGGACCTAAGCTCCATTTGCTTTATTCACATGTTACTAACAAGGGATAGTTATTTGAATAATTAATGACTTATAGATAGTTCTGGGGCACTAGTAGAATCGATGAAAAGATTTAATCCAATAATGGTCAGTTACTTATACAAAGACATTTCTGGAAAAAAACACAACTTCAAATTATGACAGACAGGAAGAACTAAAGAAGACTGGAAGTGGCCCATTTATAGAGGAGTGTTTAAAAGTTGGTTACCTGTTAGCCATCAAGTCTACCTTGGTAAGGGAGGAAACAAGAGCTTCGTGAATTGCCTAGGGATAAGTGGAAATATGACCTGGAGTTGAAAAATTAATAAGGGGCATATAATTTGGAAGGATAGGAGTTTAAGGTCAGACTATATTCCATATGCCAAAGGTGTTCCTGCCCTACAGTGTGGCAGTAACTGCACTGGAACAGAAGTAAAGGACCCTAAGATGATGAAGGGAATGGGAAGCTGGGTTATTGGCTGCTTGATCCACATGGATGTTAGAGTGCTCACTGCCTGATCACCTCTTCATTTCACCTTTTCACCCCTCTCACCACCTTTACAAATCTGCGTTTTGGTGACCCCAAGGTTTTTACATTGTCAATAGCATAAATTCTGTATAAAAGATACAAGTATGGTAGTGAGAGAGGATTATGGTACACAACTACTTTTTTTGTTGTTTTTTTTTGTGTGTGTATGCATGTGTTTTTTCCAGACACTCAGGACTCATAATACTTATTGGACAAAGTATCTCAAGTGCTCACTAGGAAACTCATTCCATTTTTGTGTTTTAGTATGAACCAGTGGAGTTGACTTGCCTGCCTACCTCTATAGCATGGATAGGTATATGTGCAGGTTTGGCTATAGCGAGTATCCCATGGAGGTTCAAGGTGAGCCCCCATGTATCAGTAACCCTGGTTCATAGTTGAGAACTCACCTCTGGTTCATGAGCTATTGGTGTTCCGGGAGATATTATAACTCCCCTAAAGCCATGAATATCAAAGGTGACACCTCCCTCCTGATAAACGACATGTACACCCACAAAGGGCAAGGCCTTACATATTTCCATCAACCATGATGGAAGGAACAAATTTCACCATCACCAATCACAGGATGACATCCCTGCAAATACTGTTTTAGTGCTCAAAAGAGAACCCATGCCTTTTGGTGTGAAACAGCGCAAACCGACCGTGCAGAGCTCTGATCTGCCACGGTAGGTGGAGCTGAGGTCAGTTTGAGGAAGCTAGGGAACAAGACAGGTATCACCTTTGTTCCACCAACAAGGTCACCCTTTCTTCATTTGATCTTACTTTCTCGCTTAGTCTAATGCATATTTTCCTTACTTTCAGCTTTATTTTACCTAGGGAGATAGGTGGCTGCCTGGTTAACATCTCTCCCACAGATAGCTGAGTAATGTTTCTGCTCAGAGAAAAAAAAAAAAAGAAAAGAAAAGGAAAGAAGGAAAGGAAATTGCCAATCCCACGTGCTGAAGACCCAGGGGCAGGAATGACTTCCCCAAGGTGACTTTCCAGAAGGCATACTTGAGTGTCAAGGTTAAAGTACACTTCGCCAACACATTAACGTGACCCATGAGACAGATCTTTAAACAGATCTATGCTGTTCCTAAACCCTTCCCCAACCATCCCAGGATCTTCTTCAGCCATAACGCCCCCCAACACTCCCATTCAGTGTTCACTCATCACTAACTTAGTAAATAATGCTTAAGCCACTGTCTCTTCTTCACTGATATTTTCTAAAAGCACATACCTGTCCTTGATCATCTTCATATACAGAAGGCCTGTATTGTATGCTATTTAAGGAATATTAAGCATATTCTAGGAGAAAGATATGGGCTCCCATATATGTTTATTAAAGCTAAGCTAAAAGGTAAGAGAGAGAGCCCATCTCCTTAAATTTCATCAGAGAGGGAATAGGATTTTTAGGGGCGGTGGGGTGGGGGGTGAGGGGAGATACAAGATATCTATTTTTCAAAAAGGGCTAAAGGGGGCTGGTCACTTTGAACCCAAAGAAAGCAATCAGCAAGAGCTGAACTAAATCCCTCCTTTCCCTAAACAGAAGCTCTGAAACACACCAAATCTGTGCCCCCATCCCAGTACACAAAAATCACTATTATTAGTGAAACATTTATTAGGGCAAATCAGCAATCACCACAAGGAAAAATTATTTGGGGGTGGGAAATCTTCTTTCCCTGGAAATTCTGTAGAGGTGGTTGCTGTCTGCATAGTAGACATTGATCTCTACTACACCTCCAGCAGTGGTGAGAGCAGGAGGCCCCCGGGCAGCTGCAGGCCTGCAGGTAGGGCTTGGATGAGGTACAGTCCTCCTCCAGGGCACAGATTGGGGCTGCTTCTGATTGAATAGCTTGTCCTTAAATGCCAAAACTTTCTGGGAGAGTCTGTCCTTGTCTCCGAAGACAGCTTCTTGGCCATCGGACTTGGTATCTGTCTCTTTAAAGGAGGGAGTCCTGCAGTTGAAAGGATGCCCCTGGACAGGCTCTGCTGGGGCACACACTGCTGCCTTCTGCTGACCATTCTCAGTCTTCACTGCAGAGGGAAGGGGCTCTTGAGGGCAGCTGATATCTACTGCATGCCCTAGTTTCTCCTCTAGAAAACTCCCAGTGTCTACTTTACTTTTAACTGGGCCTCTGCTCTGTGTAGATGATAGGGGGCTGCCCTTTTCCTGAGAGTATTCTTGCTCTTGGCATTTTATCTCAGGATGAAGCCATTGAAAAAAGCGGCTTATTTGATTTCTGAACAGACTTTCAGGAAGAGACTGTGCCTTCTGTAATGGGGTCTGGGGAGACTTGTCCACACTGGAGACACCCTGAACCTGAATCAGGGAGGCTTTGTTAGTCAAGCTGTCTGAGGCATAGGACACATGAGTGTGTTGGCCTTGGGCCTGGCTCTGCTTCCTGTTCTCGAGCTTCCATTTTGTCTCAGATAGTTGATTCTGAGGGTTTGCTGATTTAAGATCTTGGAAAACTGATGTTTTCCCTGGGAGGCTTTTAGTTGTCACAGTAGTTACTCCTTTACTCTCATTCACATTTAACCTTTGAGAAATTCCCAGCTTGCTGGTTGTCAAGATGTCATTCATTTTGGGTTGAAGAGCATCAAGCTCCTCAGCCCTGGACACGTTGGGCATGGAGACAGGTTCTGATTTCTTCATCCTTTTGCCGTGACTGGAATTTACTCTTTGATTCTTTGGTCCATGTCCATCCCCACCTTGCCTTATGGACAGCTTTGGGGGACAAATGTTGGCTCTTGGAGTATGTCTCTCACTTTCTTTGCCAGTGATGCTGTTTGTAACAGGCAGAAGAGTCTGTAGGGCAACCTGAATTCTCTGAACCTCCCCTGCCAGCCCATGGGCAATATTAAGGGGTGCTTGTCTAAGGGTCATCTGTCCTTCCTTGCCCATAAGTGAGGTGACAGGGTGAGGCTGATTCAGGGTTTTAGAGATTTTTCTAACAGGCTGGAAGCTCCTAGATTTGGAATCCCTCTCAGAAATCAGATTGGTTGAAGAGGAAGATTTGGAATCAGACAGGGAATGGGAAGAAGTACCCCTCAATTTAAAGATTTTTATGGATTTTAGGACTTTGGCTAGAAGGGCCCACATCCTCCTCAAATGAAACTTGGTAATGTGGGCTTCCAGTTTCTGCTGTTCACTGCACTCAAGGAAAGGAAGCTCATTGCAGGTGTTAAGGCAGTTTTCCCCACCCGCTGATAGTGCCAAACATCTCTGTTTTATTTTGTTGTGGTATTGCCCAGAAAATGTCTGATGGATAGCATGCCATGGACTATGCACAGTTGCAGGGAGCTGACCCTCATTGTTTTCCTCAGATTTCTTGCTCAACTGTGCTCTTGAGACATTTTCTGGTTGTCTCTGCCTTATATTCTGCCCTGACATCAATGAATTTGCTCCTGACAGACTCATTATGTCGGTGTTTAGGTCTTTCTCAGAGTCATATCCCATATCCTGAACTTGACTGAAATCATCTTGTGCCAAGGTGAACAGCAATGGGTCTCTGACACAAGCTTTCTGACAGAAAAAGTGTGAAATTGACAGTTTTGTATGGTCAGTGCCTTGAGGGACATAAGTAGACAATGCCTCAGTGCTGTCTGGAGTAGAGTTCTCTAGAGCAGGCTTGGAAGAGATGTGAATGGATTTAGGTTGAGTCACAGTTAAACTGAAGTGTGGTGGTGGTGGTGGTGGTGAAACAGACATGATTGGTGGGCCATGATAAGTCACTGATGCTGTGGCATTCGAAGTCAGGCCCAAATCTGGGAAGGGGTTGATGTCTTGGGTAATGGAGGCATCAATAACGATGGTATTCAGGGTCAGAAAAGTATTCGAGCTCTGAGTTTCATGTGGTGGGAGAGAGGGAAAGGCGAGGGTTTGGAACGGGGAATCATCCACTGTCAGTTTAGATTTGAGAGGAGGCAAAGGCTCTGATGGCAGAGAGTGATCTGGTGGTGATGATGATGCAAAATCACTTAAGGGGGTTATTGGGTTAGGAGAGAGATTGGAGAGGGGTGGTGGGAAAGGCTCAGACAGAGGAGGTGGTATTGGCTCTCCTGGAGGGACTGCTGAGAAGGCAGGGGACAGAGTGAACAATGACTCAGTCACAGGAGCTGCAGAAGCCAAAGAGGACACAGAGGGAGTAGCACCTTGCAAGGTCTCTGAGAAGAGCAGCTGATCCATCTCAGCAGTTGCATCATTACACACCTCACAGGAGGGGTCTGGACATAACAGCTGACGAAAGCTGGTGGAATCATGATGCTTGCCCAGGGGGCTGCAGGAGACAGGAGGTACAAAGTTGCAGCTAGGACCAGGATAAGCAAAGGAGGACCTACTGGCCTGATTGGAGGGTGGGGCATCTGAAGACTGCTACCCCTTCACATTGCCCCAATCCATGACTTCACGATGCACTCAATAGCACTTACCCCAAGGCCTTCACTCAAATTCCCATTCCTGTGGCAACCCCCTCCCATGACTACAGAGGGCTGCACTGAATGCCTGAATTTGCATAGAACATTCTAAAGAGGGATCAGGGAAAAAAGGAGAAAGACTAGTCACCTTTTAAGGACAGAAAGCAGCATCTTTTTTTCTTCTTCTTCCCTCTGGTAGTATCTCCAACCTGGGAAACCAGGAGAGTAGATAATACATGGTGAAAGGGGAAGCAGAACTATTATAGAGGAGTCCCTTTATGGGACACCATTGGCATATAACTCTGAAAGCCCCCAGAATCAGTGAGGTCAAATGGTTATTGATAATATTAAAAAGGTTCCCATGTGAATGTTGCTTCATTTGTAAAGTACTTTCACATACATCATTTCATTTGATGCTAAAAACCACTGTGTGAAGCATAGAGGATAGTGGTTACATCAAAGAGGAATGTGATCATCCTGAAGTAAAGTACTTTCACAAAGTCAGGAAACAAAAGTGCTGATTCTGAACATCTACTGCTCAACACCCATTCCCCAGACCCATCACTGCTTCATACCCAGTGACAGCAGAGCAGGAAATCTGAGATGTGTCTCAGTTTCTGACTATCTTCCCAAGAGCCTCTCCTCTGAGAAACTGTGTCTAGCAGCTACATCATAGAAATCACGAACCTGGTTCCTTATGGGAAGGAGAAAGGTTCACCCTTGGGGAGGTCATATCAACAGGTAGAACCTTACCTTTCTGTGTTCCACCTTTCCTCCTCCTCTTGGCTCTGCCCTGATGATGCTAAGAACAAAAAAATGAGGGGTTGGGACACATTTCTTGTCACTCCTCACCCTAGCAATCTCAGACATTAATTATACAAGAATAATATGACTAATTAATGGAATTATGTGTTCCTTCTTTATATCAATAGTTAAATATTTTTAATGTTTTCAGTTTTTTTCTTCTTTAAAAAACTCATAGGATTGTATCCATGAGATTCATAGTCAGTTCTCAGTCAGAAGCCCTCTGCTTAAGGAGGGCATAAAATTTGGGGCCAACATCTCATTTCTGCTCCATCAGATAGGAGCTCTGGCTCCTGTCTCTGCTCAGAGGCTCCCAGGTGCTCAGCACCTCTCTCCTGATCAGCCCAACAGAGAGGAAAGCTTGTTCCAGTTATGCCTGACATGGGAATATGATCATGATGAAGTGCAATGGAACTCTGATCTCTAGCAGAGATCCCAAACTCAAAATAACCCAATCCAGGGCCATGAAGGCACTGTGGAATTTTTTTTTTTTTTTTTTAATACAGGAATTCTTCACCATACCAGATGTTCTATGAGCTTCATATGGTAACTTGAGTCCCTAAACCCCTAGTCCTGCCTGGTCTCTTCCCTTAGAAAAGTGATGTTCTGTTCTCTCTTCAGACATCCCATCATAGGTGTCTTTCTGACCCAACTAAACTCATTTATAAATGTGGGATTAGAAATAGAAAAAAAATTTAAAATCTCTCTTGGGCTTCCCACAGGATTCTTTACCTTTTGGGTGTGTTCATTTTTCCAGAAGGTTAGGGTAAATGGAACTTCCACCAGTAAATAGAAGAAGAGGAGGAGCAACCACAACACACAGAAGTAAGTTAATGCGCAGTAACAATTTAACGGTTTCCAGCAGAAGCTCTGATAAAGCTCTTGGAGGCTTTTAGATAATAGGCTCAAAATCATTTTCCGACCCGCAATTCTGCCTGAAGTAACTGAGCTCTGAGAGTGCAGTCTCTTGACTTTATAGCCAGATCTGCATCACAGAGCACTGAGGAGTCACAAAGGGTATCTGAGGGTGGGGGAGAGCATAACCCTAACCCTAACCCTAACCCTAACCCTAACCCTCTCTCCCACCCTCAGATACCCTTTGTGACTCCTCAGTGCTCTGTGATGCAGGCCTGTTCAGAGCTCAGTTGCCTCAGGCAGCATTGCCATTCAGAAAATGACTTTGAGCCCATTATTGAAAAGCCTCCCAGAGATCAGAGCTTCTGCTGGAAACCGTTAAATTGTTACTGCACATTAACTTACTTCTGTGTGTTGTGATTGCTCCTCCTCTTCTTCTATTTACTGGTGGAAGTTCCATTTACCCTAACCTTCTTGGAATGAGCCACATGGGTACAGGCTTTTCAGGATACCAAAAGGCTGAAGAACATTCTGGGGCAAAATCCTTTAAAACATTAGTTAAAAGAGTAGCTATAAGATGTCCATCATTTACATAACAAATGTATTGGATTCTATTTTGTAATATGTTGAATAGAAATATTAATAAAGTAAGGCATTGCCTGTGTAAGTGAAACCTACAAACAATTCTGATGAAGTGATAAGAACTATGACAAAAGTAAGAATAAGAACACAAATATAAAGAAGCAAATATTGTGCACGGAAGGAGAGGGGAAAGAGGTCAGGGAAAATTTCAGAGTTGGTGTCAAGTGAGATGGGCATTATGAGGTGTTCCCCTTCCTCTTTGTCCTCCTCATCGTTATCACCCTCTTCTTCCCTCTTTAGATTTTACTTTTTTGAGCAAGTTTAGATTACCAGCAAATATAACAGGAAGGCCCAAGTTCTCATATGCCCTCTGACACTACCACACATACCCCACCTACCCCACAATCTATTTTCAGCATCAGAGTGGGACATATGCTACAACTGATGAACCTACATAGACAAATCAGTATCATCCCACATCTGTAGTTTACATTATGATTCACTCTTGGTGTCATGTGTCATATGTTCTTTGGGTTTTGTTCAACATATAATGACATGTATTCACCAATATAGTATCATACAGAGTATTTTCACTGGCCTAAAAATCTTGTGTGCACTGCCTGTTCATTTCATTCTCCACCCTTACGTCAGGCTACCATTGATTTTTTTTTTTTTTTTCTGTCCCCTGAGTTTTTTCCATTTCCTGAATTTTCTCTAGGTGGACTCATACCGTGGGTAGCCCTTTCAGATTGGCTTCTTTCCCTTAGTAATATGCATTAAGATTCCTCCATGCCTTTTCATGGCTTAATAGCTCATTGCTTTTTAATGCTAACTAATATTTCCACATCTCAGTGTACCACAGTCCATTATCCACTGACCTTGGATATCTTTCTTGATTGCCAGATTTGGCAACTATGAATAAATCTCCTATAAACTTTCCCCTTTTTTAGTTTACTTTATATAGACATAATTCACATATCACAAGTATAAATTCAATGGATTTTGATATATTCACAAAGTTTTGCATCTATTACCACAAATTTAAAACATTGTCATCACTATAAAGAAACTGTTCCATTTAGCCATTAGACATGTCTTCCTATTTCCCTCAGCTCTAGGTTACCACTGTTCTACTTTCTCTGTAGATGTGTTGATTCTAAGCATTTCATGCAAATGAAATCATACAATATGTGGCTTTTTGTATCTGGCTTTTCAGTTAGTATGTTTTCAAGATTTGTTTCCATTGTAGCACATGTATTCCAGTGAATGAAACTAGCTCAATCATAAATACACCCTTGAAATAATTACTGGGAGCCAGAAATTACTGTTAATCAAATCTATGTCACTGCTACACAAAGTGTGGCCCATGGACCAATGTCTGTCTCACATTTTTTTGTTATTGTCAGTAAAAAGCTGAGTATATAAAAATTGAGGATGTTTAGAAACTTTTATTTCAATTTGACAGAGTAATAATAAAAATTGAAACTTGTATATTTTATGTTTTTCTGTGTGTGTCATTTTCCCAGTGATTCTTTTTTGTTATATTTTACACAGTTTCAGTCCATAGTGGACGGGGGCATGGGAGATGAAATAAACTGGTTCTTCACTACAGAAAGTTTTAGAATTGGTTGTCTAATGTTCATGCTCCAATGTGAAGCCTGGAGTGAGTCAGCATCCTAAAAGCACACAGAAATCCTGTCCACAGTAGAAGGAGCAATAACAAATGTCCACTCCCATTGTGGAACCTAATTGAAGAGAAGGGCACCCCCAGACTCATTTTAACTCTCCTGTGTTCTCGTGTTTTCTTCCATGTTGACCTGCTTTTTATTCACAGTCCTTGGTAAGAATTTACCTGCTTAAACTTTGCATATGGCCAATTTAATATGGCCATTATTACCTGAGCATTCATCTATTCTTGCCATTGGAACTTTTATTTCTAGAATCAAAGTGTTCAAATAGCTCTCCTAAGCCACTGAGAGAAAAGCAACTTTGAGCTAGACTAACAAAAGGTACTTATTAAACAGCTCTGATTTTCTTTCCCACCCTCTTGGCAATGAAGGGTGGAAACTGCAGATCCCTATGAGAGGTCTGAAGGGAGAAAAATGTGTAGGACAACTTTTGAAGTTAGAATTTTCTCATTAAAATTATATATAAGCCCTGACTGATTTGGCTCAGTAGATAGTCAGCCTGTGGACTGAATGGTCCCAGGTTTGATTCCAGTCAAGGGCATGTATCTTGGTTGCAGGCACATCCCTAGTGGGGGGTGTGCAGGAGGCAGCTGATTAATTTTTCTCTCTCATCAATGTTTCTAACTCTCTATCCCTCTCCCTTCCTCTCTATAAAAAAAATCAACAACAACAACAAAATATGTATATATAATATATTTACAATATTTTAAGTCAACTAGCTAGGGCAGTTGTATAGCAAGGAAGCTTGTGTGGCAGTTTGGCAAAATTTGGATTTCAGTTCTTTTAAAATAAAATGGAAACAATAAAAACACAAGTAAAAATAAAATTTAAAAAGTACAGTTTCTGGAAGAGCCTACTGATTCTGTTTCTATTTAAAGCTCTGCAATTAAAGCTTTTAATCTCACTGTCCATCAAAGGCTAATACAGGCAGAGAATTGGAGATATCTGCTCCACTCAGAGCTAGAAGTGACCATAGAGAAACTTCTAGTCTAGCTTTCTCATTTTACAAATTGAAAAGTGAGCTCAGGACAGGATTATTTCTTTTCTTTTTAATTCTTCATTTTGTGTGTGGGTATGAGTTTTTATATGCCTGTGTGTTGTGTGTGTATGTATGTTTATGTTTTCTTAGAAGGTTTGGAAACTTGGTGTCTGCAGAATTTTAACAATTTATATATTCAATATGAGACTTCTTTCTTTTCAGGGCCCTAAATCACCTCTCAATATAAAGATAAGTACTAAAAAGCTCCTAATTTTATC